CCCCAACTGTTTAAAGAAAATTAGGTTTGAGGACAATTATCCACCAACAAACCTCACAAATGCAAACACGTTAGTTAGGTCAAATGTGCTGCTATGTTTTGTATGAAACATCTGAATTTGTAATGTAAATAGTAGCTAAAGCTCCTAAATTAATGTAGTGCAGTAAAACAACATTTTTCTCTGAAATCTTGTGGAGTCAAAGTATTACGTGTATGGATGAACAATATATATATAATATAATTCAAGAAGAAAAAGCCTCACATTACTGCACAAGACTTGTTAAGGACACACTTAATGTATAATGTTTACCTGGTGTCTGCTGTGTATTCTTTTCTGCAGTATTGCTTTGACAAAGCAGAACTTCACACTGAAGTATGACACCAACATTCCTCGGCAAGTGGTAAGCACCTGTTCAGATACTTGTTTTCTAAGAATGAAAGCACAGCAAGTCGCGATGTCAACTGTTAAAATAATGTGTTTATGAATATAACTGCCCTTCTCATGAAACTCTCTACTGATGAGATGATTTGTCTCTCTTTTAATGAAGGGCCTTGCTGGAAGCAGGTAAATAATTCTCTTGGCTGATTTCTTACCTCTTTAATTCAGTAGAAATGTATTACCACCAACTTGTCATAATTTACTTATACATAATCGTCTCTTTTGTGCAGCGCCATTGTCTCAGCCACCCTGAAGTGTCTTATGAAATTCTACAACATCACAGAAAATGTAAAGATGCTAGTTATTTGCCATGACTGGTGGTGTGTTTAGTTCTTGGAAGAAATTATTCCACTTGTCTTTCTCCGTTCTACTAATATTAAAAACACTGCAAAAATGACCCTGTGATGGTCAGACTCCTTGTCTGGGACCGAACAGTAAGGCAAGTAAGACACAACATTTAAAATAAAACAAGTGCTTTTTATTTACCCAAAAATAAGGAAAAAATACAAACAACATCAGGCTTTGCAGCCCTGATCCTCACGTGGTGAAGGCCAGGGCTGAGGCCTCCATACTGCTCCTGTTGTGTGGAAGCAGTCCAGTAGATTTCAGTCTAAATCCAGTGAGAGCACACACCGTAGAAACAGCAGTGTCCAGAGGCAGGAGAAGGCTGACAGTCTTATCACTGATAATCTTGTTTGCTTTCAACCATTATACTTATGTCTCAGAATCCACATATAGTTTAGTAATAACAGCATGAAACATGTAGCACCTGTAAATACAGACATGTTCTTAAAAGCTTTACAGCGCATATGGTTACTTTTAAAAGAATCAACATTCTGTTCCTAAAGAACACATTTGAACACTTTGGATCTAAATATAAAATCCTTTTTAAAAAGGACAAAAAGTAGAAAACAGAAGAACATTGACATGAGGCAGGAGAAGCCCCCAGTAATAAACAGAAGTTTTACCTCAAGAAAAACAGAACAGTTAAAATATCTGATACAAGATCATCAGCTTTGTCTTTACACTCATGTTTTGTACACCAGGATCTCCCAAAACCAACCCGAGCCAACTTCATCCTCAACGTGGAGACTGATGAACTTGTCATTACTGCTGGCTTGCAGGACAGAGTTGTTCAGGTCAGTGAACAATCAGCCCTACCTACTGTACATGAACCGGGTTCTGTTGCCGCAGCTTCTGTAACAGGAATTCATTGTCCTTTTGCAGGTCTATGAAGGCTTAATTTACATGGATTTCAGTAAGAACCTTATGGAGGAGCAGGGCTACGGTACTGATGTCGCTGTCACTAGATGCTAAGGTCATGATACAAATACATTCTCTTTTTTTTTAAAGGTTGTGTGTCTTCCATTCTCAGGAAATTATGTTTCTATGGACATGAGTAACCTTCCACTGTTCTGGCTGGCCTACCTGAGTGACCCCAGTGACTCTGGACGCATCCACAGCGACGTTCGACAGCGCTGGCTCAGCGGTACCCCTTTATATCAAACTTTACATTGCATTGTTTTTGAAGGAGATGATTATATTAGTCATATATCACCTGGATTCCTATGAAATTTGTTGCAGAACCTGGTCCCGAGAGGTCATCTCCTGAATTTTATGAGGTTTACGTTGGTGATTTTATGTCAACCGTCTCAGCAACCTTTGGTCTCATTGTCCTAACATATTTTATTTCACCAGGATAATCTGCTTAGAAGCAGTGTCAGAACCTTTTCCAGGGAGTCTTGGTGCCACCATCTGTTCAAATTTAATATTTCAGTTTGTCCAGCTGTTAAGTCAGGCTTTATGATCTTCACAGCATTTGACACCTTCAGTCCATACACCCACAGTGTGGATAAAGAAATCTAAATGAAAAATCTTGTAAAGGGGAAATAAACTGGAAGAAACCTTAGGACGAGCTAGAGCAGATGGCAAATGTTAGCATGCTAGCATGCTAACCAACGTATCTGATAACCGTCAGAATGCTGACATTGCCATTGTGAATATGTTAGCATATGTTACCATTAGTATTTTGTTCAGTGCACAGCTCTAAGTTCTAGACTCTTTGTCTTGTTCTACATTCAGTGACCTTTTTAAGGCCATAAAGTAGTCTTCATTGGTCAGAATAGGCCAGTATGAAGTATGAAGAGCAACAAATTTCTGTTCTCCATAAACAGACAAAAAAGTATTTCAGTCCAAAAACAACAACATGCACATTTACATCTTTCTGTTCCTTTAAGGAGCTTTAACAATGGAAGCACATTGGCTTATTGTTGATCTGATTTCATAGTTGTCGTCTTCCTACAGGGGAGCCTCTAGTTGTTGAGGCTATGAAGACTTTTGCAGAGCTCACTGATCAAGCAAGGTTGGTTTCAGTATGTTAGAGGTAGACTGTTGATCAAGAATTTCTGCAAAAAATAGCAGAGGTTTTGTCAAGAACAGAGACTGAATGCAATTAATCACCCGATTGATTATGTCTTGCTCTTGCACAACAGTGTCAAAGTGGCTGTGAGCTGTGAGTTCCAGTTATTTTCTCCAACTGATTGAAAGTGTTCTCCCCCTCAGGACGGCTTTCCAGAACAGAGATTGGAGCTGTCTGGCACAACTGATGGACAGGAACTTTGAGCTGAGGAGGTTAACAGTATATTTTTTAATTTGAGGCGTTTATATTACAGTTACACACACAGCTAAAATGTAACTCCATATCCCACAGGTCTGTCTACACTGATGACTGTCTGGGTCCTGGAAATCTCAAGATGGTTCAGCTGGCGAGGCAGGTACGTGCTGACAGCATCCACTACCTGCAGAGAGCATATCTTATTGAACAATGTTCTCCCTTTTCTTCAGCTCTATCTACATCTATGTGTTTTTCTGTTGATGCATTGGTCAAGTTTCGGCTCTTTTTTGCAGTTTGGCTCAGCAGTGAAGCTGCCGGGCAGTGGGGGGGCTGTGGTGGGTCTGTGTCTGGACCAGGCACGACTGGTAAGACCGCACTTTGTGGACACTCCCTGTATAACCATGGATGTGGAGCTGAATATTTATGCTGACATTTCTGTGACGTGGCTACCCACTCACTGGATGGACAGTTGCTGTCCTAGTGCAATATTGCAAATCTTACTTAATTCTCATGAACTTTAAAGACATATAAGTAACCAGACATAACTGAATTAGATTTATGTAGTAAGCAGGTGACATATTCTGTCATGTGATGATCAGAAGGTGTAGTCAGAGCACACTTCTAACCACAAGTCTAGTTTGTTTCAAAGATGTTTGACCTGATACTTTGGCTATGGTAAAATTTTCCATCCCCTTGGAAAATCTGTTGCCCTTTGAACCAAGTGATCAGGAAACAAAACAGTTGTAAAGTTTTTTTCTCCTCATTTATTTACTGGAGAAAGGCAAAGACGTTAGAATAGCCCCCCCAGAGGATGTTAACTTTTCTATGATTACATCTGTCACACTTATACTGGCAATTAGATAATTTGAAAACAAAAAGAACAACTTGCATTCTGCATCCATAAATATAAAGCTTTTACTGAACTTGAAACAGGACAAACAGGGCGAAAATGTTTACAAACCAGACAAAATGATCTTTTAACATTAAGCCAGTTTGAAGTGTCTCCTGGGTAGGACCACATTGAGTCACTCAGCAGCCCAGTGTAAAATGTCAACACCAGAAACTGCATTGACAACCTTACTGTAAATATCCTAGCTTTTACACAGCTAAAGAAAGTTTCACCTGACAGTTCAACAATAACAGCAGCTTTACTCGATTAGTTCTTGCTTGATGAGAGACTGATGCAGGTCTTAGCATCTTGGCTATGTCAGTACCTAACCTGTTAGAAGTTGTATGTTCTGTGGTAGGATGTATTTGTGTGTCTGACACCAAGTCACCGCTGTGTAATGCAGTCTGTGTGTGGCCCACTAGGTGGAGATGAGGCAAGCTTTCCAGGAGGCAGGCTGTGTCTTTTGTCTCATCGTGCCATACAACCCATCTGTCAGCCCTGCCGGTGGCCAACACTAACCTTGTATCTCCCCATCGGTTGAATATGGCACAGTGTGGCCCTCAGTGTACCCAACAGAGGATGTGTTTTTAAAATAGCTGGAAAAGATCAAATCAGGGAGTGATTAGCTGACTTTAGTGGTGGTTTGTGTAACAATTTACAAAATTGACCAAACAATGTTTAGTCAGAAATTCGGTATTTACTTTGTCCCTAGAAAATCTCTGAATCTGCAAGTTTTAAAGCTTATTGCAAATTATCTGTGACTCTGGGAATTTGAGGTCATTTTAAATGTGGCAAGTTGATGCCTTTCTGTCAAATAATCATCCATAAAAACTATGTAATTATTTTTCTACATGTGTGATAACATTGGTTGTATAGACTTGATCCAGTTCACGTTGTATAATCCATTTAACTTTTCTACAAAAATTAAAAGCGATTTTATAGCGCTTTGTGTAAAGCCTATATGTGATAGTCTTTAATCACTATTAAAAATAAGCATAATTAACCCATATTATACACAGATGTACAGTATAGTTTAGGGTAAACCCACCAATTAAACTAGTTAAAATAACAGTGAAGTGTAGTCCGTGTGTTCTGCTCGGTATTCTGCCGCTGTGCCGTAGAAATGCATTAAGCGCATCTAATTGGCTGTTTCCCTCGGTGGGCGGGGCTCGACGTCCGCGCAGCGCTGCCCTCTGTTTAGCTCCGGATTACCGTTACCTCTCCACTCGTACGGACACATCTGAACTTCATGGACTAGCCAAAGGTCTGGTGGTGGACTGTAGCGGACTGGCTGAACACGGGGACCATGGCTGCCAAAGAGGACCTCTACACTAAAGTCCTCCCTCGGAGGCTCCGGCAGATCCGCCTGGGCTCGGTGAAAGGTGGCTCCAACCTGGACGTGTTGTTATCCATGGGCTTCCCCAGACCAAGGGCGTAAGTACTCTGACCTGAACACCGTGTGCGTGTGCGGGCAAGGGTACTGCAAGAGTACGTACGTGTATGTCGGAGCTCGTCCTCCGACATACCTGACGGGGGAGACGGCCGATATCTGAGCCGAGAGTCGGCTGTGCTCGCGAATGGGTCAGCGCAGCATCAGTCCATGCGCTGTTTCCCTGCATCGGTTTTCACGGTGCGCGGCCGTTAGCTGATGTTTCCTCCACAACCAGACACAACCGAAGAGCAAAGTACCATATGATTTAACAGAATGAGTTAAAAACAGCAGAATAGAAAAAGGGTGTGACTGAATAAGTATAGAGCTGAGTGGAGTTCAAATCATTAGCAAGAATAGAACAATAATAGTTCACAGAAGTGTCACGTTACCATCAGATACAAGAAATACGCACCGAAAATGCGTTATACTTAACTTTTTACACCCTTGGTCTTAATTTAAGTTGTAGCTCTCAATGATAGTTGACGCTAAAGTTTGGTCTGACCCATAGCTGCTAGTAGATGTTCCACAGTGTTCATTGGCTAATCTAGTCTCCCGTTTGATGCAGGGCAGGTCACGCACAAGGGGTTAATCAGTTTTTTGAGGTAAACGGTTATGAGAGGGGAGAGTGTGTGGGCTGGAACATTAAACAGACTGAAACGTCATAGAACTGAGCTGAACTGCAGGGTTAGGTTTCAATTCTTTATGAAATTTTAAATACGACTGATCCCATGTGGATTGCACATAGTCCTTTCAATCACTGTTATAAAACATATTGATTACTGCAGCATGAAGGAAGTATCAGAACTACAAAGAAGACGATATAATAGTGTCATTAAACTCTGCTGATGTTTACCTGTACTTACCATCACTTATAAAAAGTTTCAACAAAATCCAGTAATATAATGACTAGGGTGGCAACTAACAATAACTTTCATTATTGGTTTATTTGTCGATTATTTTCCCCATAAACTTGAATGCTTTATCTATAAAATGTAAGAAAATAAGTAAATGAAAGTGCTCATTATAATTTCCCACAGCCCAGAGCGATGTCGCCAGATGTCTTGTTTTGTTCCACCACCAGTTCAAAACTAAAAAGATTGTCAGTTTGTTATAATGAATCAAAGAAAAGCATCAAATCTCTGCATTTATACACCTCTCACATTTTAACAATATTTTTGGACTGTTTTTTTTTTCTTTTTGAGAAGGAGCCTTTCATTTTTGTCGAAAAGAAATTAACATTTTGTGACCAACATAACAGGCCACTGGGCGGGACATTTTACAATTTAAGAATAAATGTGTGTCCTCTGTGACAGATGGATTATGTGACGGTCTGTGTCAAAACTACTACAAAAATACCTTTGATATCTTTCTGTACTACAACTTATCGCCTGACATACACGGTAGTATTGTTACAGAATGTCTACAATAAGCCATTGGCAAGCTGATTTATCTGTCAGCCTTTAATATGCACATGTTCTGTCTATGTCTTTTGTACTGCAGTTCATTATTATATTTTTACCTCTACTTATTGTAAACAAATCTTTAACATAAAAACACCACTTCCTGTGTACAAGAGGACAGTTGGTCAAAACAGTAGATGGAAAATATCTCATGACTCTTCTATGGTACTGTAGAATCAGTATTGTGTAGTGAAAGTATTTAAACCTATTCTGGGCCATACATACTGTCGAGAGTCTTTCCATCCCTTTCACCCAGACAGATGTCACACATCTAAAGTGTTTGCGAGTGTGTATGTCAGAGAAAGTGTGCTGTAGTTTGCTGAGTGGACACAGCAGACAATGGCAGGCCCCTAGGCAGACCATCGCTGGCCTACAACACAGTCCCTCAGGGAAGCCACAGCCTCTTATGTCAGCCCACCACTGCTTGGCCTTGGCACTGCCACTTATTAGTCCTAATTCTATTTCTGTCTGTCTCTCCCTCTCCTTTTCTGTCTGAAGAGGCTGACCCACTAAACATTTACTGACCGACTTCAGGTGTCCTGATTTTGTTGTTTATTTATGTGTAGAAAGATTAAATTTATCTTCTGTTATTAGTCAGGCTATTGTTTTGGTTTGAGGCATCACACAGAGTAGATCCCTACTGCTTTTACATAATGCAGTTTAATGAGATAAGTAGGATATGATTAATAATACAGTAGTGGCAGAACACTTTGTTTTTACTTTGACAAATTCAGAGCCTGGGGGTGTTAGGAAAATATTACAGTTATATTCTAGGACTAGGACTGGAATGCTGGCATAAAATGCTTGATTGAGATAGATTTTTTTAAATGTATTTTTAATGAAATGTTACCTGGTCAAATTGAGGAATGTTTACTGGTTATAATTTATCCAGGCAAAGTTTTTTGTCTGGATCAGACCAAACTTTAGCGTATCCACTATCATTGTGTCCTACACACTCAAGCACGAGTGTGTAGGACTATGGCTCTTGTTACCATTGCTAACTCTGAGAGACGAGACAGTCCAAATAACTTCAAAACAGTGCTGATTTATTCAAAGGATCACAGGTAAAATTAACATTACACGCTCAGGTATCTTGCACCTCCAAACTGCTCGCAGGCAGATGTAAGATGAAAG